AGACCACCCTTACTTCCCGAGATCACCCCTTCCTCCCGCGAATGCTAAAACAGATAGGTTTTGAACCATTAGAAACTTCTGGAAAAAATCCTTAAAACATGACCATTTTAAAAAGGCCACTAATAATCTGTGTTTCAAATGTATTCATGCACATTGTTTAAAACAAAAATGTGGAAATATATAAAGATAAATAACAGAAGTAATCAATAAACATGAACAGAGTAAAGCATTAAATGGAATACATTCCCCAGCGATTAAATATACAATATGTATCGGGTCAGTCAGGTCATGACCTTGTGACCTTTATCACTTAGACTTACAGGAAAATAATACATACATTTTTTGTAAACCATTGGGTTTATGAGAAAACCCCTTCCAAACGTTGTTTAAGTTACTTTATTCACATCCGGGCCTCCTTAACACTATGCAGGCGCACAATGAACCAATGGCAATTAACTATACGTTTTAAGGAAATGTCACTACAGAAAGTGACTAGATTTAGCCATCTCTGGATGACACTGTTCATTCTCCTTGGCATCTAGGCATTTTGGACATTGAGGTCACAGCCATAAAGTCAAGCCATTCCAATGAAAGAGTCAGGAAGTCACTGAAAACCATCTAATCAGTCTAATGGGCTGTCTATCTCCCAACAGCCTCAATGTACATTCTCTGTTTAATGGGCTATCTCTCTTCCAACAACCTCAATGTACATTCTCTGTTTAATGGGCTGTCTATCTCCCAACAACCTCAGTGTACATTCTCTGTTTAATGGGCTGTCTCTCTCCCAACAGCCTCAATGTACATTCTCTGTTTAATGGGCTGTCTCTCTCCCAACAGTCTTAATGTACATTCTCTGTTTAATGGGCTGTCTCTCTCCCAACAGCCTCAATGTACATTCTCTGTTTAATGGGCTGTCTCTCTCCCAACAGCCTTAATGTACATTCTCTGTTTAATGGGCTGTCTATCTCCCAACAGCCTTAATGTACATTCTCTGTTTCATGGGCAGTCTCTCTCTTGAAAAAAACATTTTGAAAATAAAAATGTATGCTTTTTATTAAATTTTAAAAATTGATTAAATTTTTTCCATGTAATTCCAGGGCCTTATTATGGGGGCAGACCCATTGCCTACCCAAAAGCATGTCGTAAGAGTTGACTAATTGGGAGCATCATTCGAAGTCAGAGTGCATCTGCCTGAGAGGCAAGGAACCAGCAGTCTGCACACAAATGAGTCAGATCTGTTGAACGGATGCACCTGCAACACTCAGGTTCTGGAACAGGACTTCAGTCCAAAAGCAGATGAACAACCAGAACTTTCCACCTGAGTTTACAACTGGTGAACGCGAAGAAGAAGGAGAAATGTTTTTAGCAAATTTAAATAAAATGAGTTATCAGGTCTCTAGACTATTCTAAACGAGGCCATGACTGCAAAATAAGTTTCAGAAACACTGCACCAGAAGAATGGAGATGTTCATGCTGAGATTATACTAGGAAAACAACCAAGTGAAGGCAACATTTGCTGGGTTAAAAGCAAGGGGTATTGTAATAAAAAGCAAACATGCAGGGCAAAAGTTGGGTGAATGCAGGTGTCTATACCAGTGTAGGTGTTAAACCAGGCAACAAGTCAACACAAGCCACACACAGCAAGAAAACATCCAGCCCTTAGACAGGAGCAACAGTTATAAATACACAAACATAAGTTCCTTTTGTCTCAGGCAGTTCTATTATATAATAACACCAACGTTAGTTCTTATTTAAACCCCCTTATGTTAGTTCTTACAGAAACCTACCACTGCTAGTTCTTATATAATCCCACTAACGTTAGTTCTTATATCAACCCCCTTATGCTAGTTCTTGTACTAACCCATCTCTGCTAGTTCTTACATAAACCTACTAATGCTAGCTCTTATTTAAACCCTCCACTCTTTATATAAATCCACTATTGCTAGTTCTTAAATAAACCAAATAATGCTAGTTCTTATAAAACCCACTAATGCTAGCTCTTATTTAAGCCCACCACTCCTTATATAAATCCACCATTGCTAGTTCTTATAAAGCCCACCACTCCTTAGATAAATCCACTATTGCTAGTTCTTATATAAACCAATTAATGCTACTTCTTATAAAGCCCACCGCTCCTTAGATAAATCTACTATTGCTAGTTCTTAAATAAACCAAATAATGCTAGTTCTTATAAAGCCCACTAATGCTAGCTCTTATTTAAGCCCACCACTCCTTATATAAATCCACTATTGCTAGTTCTTAAATAAACCAATTAATGCTAGTTCTTATAAAGCCCACCACTCCTTATATAAATCCACTATTGCTAGTTCTTAAATAAACCAATTAATGCTAGTTGTTATAAAACCCACTAATGCTAGCTCTTATTTAAGCCCACCACTCCTTATATAAATCCACTATTGCTAGTTCTTATAAAGCCCACCACTCCTTAGATAAATCCACTATTGCTAGTTCTTATATAAACCAATTAATGCTAGTTCTTATAAAGCCCACCACTCCTTATATAAATCCACCATTGCTAGTTCTTATAAAGCCCACCACTCCTTAGATAAATCCACTATTGCTAGTTCTTATATAAACCAATTAATGCTAGTTCTTATAAAGCCCACCACTCCTTAGATAAATCCACTATTGCTAGTTCTTAAATAAACCAAATAATGCTAGTTCTTATAAAGCCCACTAATGCTAGCTCTTATTTAAGCACACCACTCCTTATATAAATCCACTATTGCTAGTTCTTAAATAAACCAATTAATGCTAGTTCTTATAAAACCCACTAATGCTAGTTTTTGCACTAGCAAACTAGTGAACAACAAGCTAATCCTAATTATAATATAAACCTGTTTATACTAGACCCACTAATTTTAGTTCTTATATCAAGTTAACTACAGTCAGTTCTAATATAAATCCACTATTTTTTTCTTATATTTGATTCTTATATGAACCCATTAATGCTTGTTCTTAAATGAACCTACAATTGTTGCTGCAGACAGAGCACCTATGGATTTGCCTGGTTTGCTACAATGTCAATTCTTAAACCAGTAATCAGGATATAAACCCACCAGCGTTTTGTTCTAATAAAAACCTACTAATGTTATTTGTTCTTGTTCTAATACAACACCACCAATACTAGTTCTTTTATTACCTCATTAATTGATGATTCATTAATTTCTGCCTCATCTAGTCCTTACAATAACTCACTAGCTACAGCTCTCCCAAAGCCTCGGCCCAGACTATTATTTCTTCATTATTTCTGCATTCTATCAAAACAAACAATTACTATGATGGTTTCTCATAAAGGCAGGTGTTATTTGATGTGTAATAATGGTAGACAAAGAAAAGAAACTGCACATTACACACAAAAACACAGATATTTACACACACTCGCACACGCACATATATCTATATACATACACACACATATTTATGCATATATTTAGCAAGTGAAAGCAAACTATAAAACACAGATCTGTGTGGCGAACACTGAACAGATGAGCCTAGCTGAGATGGTGATGGCTGTATCTATGGGAAAGAGTGGTCACTGCCACACAGACTGCAGGCACATCTTTTGATGTCTACAGTTGACCATCTCTACAACTGACCCACTGCCCTACCGCCAATGAGACATCACACACATATGACACGTGGTCTGACCAGTCAATGCAAAGCATGTGTATATAAGACAGATAATATAAGTATGCGTTCTTATTTATCGATAGATACTACACTACTATGTCTTCTGATTTTAGGATCAATATTTTAAGAAAGATATTTTAAGATAGATATACAAGAGTGTGTGTTATTACTGAAGACAAAGTAGACTGTGCTCTAACTGTCAAGAATGCCACACATCTGAAAGAGGCACTGTTTTCATGACAGACATTAATACAGATGAACAAACAAGAAGATTCCCGTCCACACCTTGGGGTAGAAGAAGATAACAGTCTCCACAAACCAAAACCTGACTGTGTGTGTATTTTCAGTACCTTTACCTATCATATGGTTGTGATTAACTCTTTTATCAGATGAGGAGACTGAGCTTTAGCAGAGATCTTGACCTGAGTGCTAATTCTGACACAAATACAGCACTATAGGATTCTTTTTTTCTGGATGGCCTAGCAAGTAGAAGACTTGACTTCAGGATACATACAACAACACTCCCCCATTACTCCTGTATTATGACAATTCTGATGCCGTCCCATGTCTCGCCTTCAGCTGCCCATTTTATAATACAACTCCAGTGCTCAAAATGTCAAAACCATTATCAAGAAGCTGGGTCTGACTGCCAGTACCAAGCAACATTTGACAGTGCAGACAGTTGGATGAATGCTGTTTCCTGTATCAAACAGCAAGATTTCTCAACTTCCTCTGACCCAAGAACACATAATACTTCAACTGCTATTTTTACATGTGACAATCTCTTCTTCTTTGCATTTAATGGCTGTAAAGTTCTGGTTTTTTATCCCCTTCTGTACTTTAGTTTTGTTCCAGAACCTGAGTACCGGGTCACATCTGTTAAACAGATCTGACTCCTCTGTAAGCAGACTGTCATATCTTCATCTCTGAGGCTGAAGCAATCCGATCTTTGAAGAAAACATCCCTAATAAGTTTATTCCTAACACAGGCGCCAATGAGTATATTCTTGTTTTCCCCACACTGGGGCCCCAGAACCCATCAGAGCATATCTGGCAGACCCATCAGAGCATATCTGACAATCGAGACCCATCAGAGCATATCTGGCATGATTGCCAGAGACCCATGTGTGAGTACTGAGCTCTGGACAAGTAATAAGTTCTGGCTGTTGATATTATTCCCCTTCCCTCCCACAATGACTTACTGTGATCATATTTATCTTGAGACCTGACATAAATCTTTATAAGTGACTATTCACTCATTAATTATTACAGATTATGATCATCTGTTTTACTGTTACAGATAACACAAAAGTGAACCAGACAGAACAGATAAGCAGGCAGACTCACTTGTTGATGAGGTTTTTCTTGTCCAACAGTTTTGATTCTGCTCGCTTGTCTGTGTCTCCTTTCTGCCTGATTTCCTCTCCGTCTCTAGTTCACATAAAACATAACAGATGTATACTTCATTAGTGCATGTCTGCCAACAATCGACTTCTCAGATTATCTCTCCGCCTCTGGTTCATATAAAACATAACAGATGTATACTTCATTACAGCATGTCCGCCAACATTTGACTTCTCTGATTAGAATTCTACTGCTGTTTAATGTGTGTGCAGGTTCACTACTTCCAAGTTAATGAATGCGTTTAACAATGTTATGATCCTCAAGGACTAAAGTTCCATTCCCACAGTGAATACTTTTCTTCTTCTTCTTCCTTGTCTTAATTCACTGGCCACATCGGAAGAAGTGAAAAAACAAAAATACTTTCATGGTTTTTGGACAATACCAGGAAACTTCTACTATTGATGAGACTGAGGCATTTTCTTCAGCCTTTCTATCCCCCAATGGAGCATAGGCCCTCAACCAACTCATGCCAAGTCGTTCTATCCTTCGCTATTACATTGAGCTCTTCCCATGTCCTCCCCATCTTTCTTACTTCAATCTCCTGCTCTCCTCTCTATGTGCTTTTTGGCCTTTCTTTATTTCTCCTATATCATAGAGAGTTCAAACATTCCAGGTGCCAATTCTGGAGGTTTTACTAGGTGAGGGGAGGTATGTCGATGATTTGGACTCCTTTCGGCTTTCTCCACACCGTGTCATACTTCTTCTACTTAAAGAGCCTCTCTTCATTTCGGTTGGCTAGGTTTTACTTGCTTCTCTTTCTGACTTATCCATGGTTGGTTGGTTTTTGTGGCTATTGTTTTTACAGGATGAGGTAGCCAACCTCAAGACCAACCCTACCCTTAGACATCTCTTGAGACATGCCTGGTAGGGTGCAGTGTCACTATTCTTTGCTTGCCACGAGAGCCTCGGTGACACACAGGTGGACTGAGGCATCACCACGTAATATTTCCGGAGACAACAACCGTGGGGGGCACCATAGCCAACCTTCATTGTAGAGACTTTCTACGAAGTTGGAGTGCATCTGCCTGGGAGGCAAGGAACCAACAGAATGCACACAAATGAATCAGATCTGCCAAATGGATGCACAGGCAACACTCAGGTTCTGAAACAGGTTCTGAAACAGGACTGCAGTCCAGAAATGGACGAACAACTAGAACTTTCCGCCGGAGTTTACAGCCGGTGAGCGTAAAGAAAAAGAAGATTGTAGAGACAGCACAAATTCTTTTTTTGTTTTTAAACACACTAGCCTGTGGCCTACCCAGTCGGAAGGCATGGAAATATGAGAAATGTCTGGAACAAATGCTGGTATCAACAGTTATAAGATCATCTGCTGATATACTGGGCATTTCCAGAGGACAATCGGACAGTGAATTACTAAAAAGGTACTGAAATAGGGAAACTAATGGCTTGAGGAAACGATAATGGCCAAGAGAAACCCAACGATACAGGATCCATCCACAATATCAAAGGGATGGCAGAGGATAGAATGTAATGAATGAATAAACTGTAAGCCCCACATGGTATGTGAACTGCACAAGAGGGTGACCATAATGATACCCAGGAATCACACAGCAGATGCAAAGGACAGAACACACTTTAGTTAGCTGACAGGCAATCCTCACTGCACATGCAACCTTTCAGTCCATAAGTGCTCAGATTCCCTCCTCAGTGTTTCTCAGTACGTAGCGGCCGACACCAGTTCTGTGTTGGTTTCTTATTCTTCTTTAGCTTCCTGCATAGTGCTTTTGTCCAGCCACACCTCTTTCAACTTGCTATTCTTGCAGTCTGATCATGGTTGCAGATTCACAGCCACTTGGATTTTGCCACTGTCTTACATCTCGTAGAGCAATCAGTGTTATCAGCCTGGTAAGTGGCTCTTGCGCCCTCCACAGCAGCCTTAGCTGCAAGCCAATCAGCTTGCTCCTTTCTCTGCATGCCCTTAGACAAACATTAAATTGATCTTTGTCAGCTCTGACCGCCTCAGAGACATCAGCCCATCTTTGGACCCATCCCATCTTTGGACCAGCCCATCTCTAGCTTCAAAAGATGGAACAAAAAAAATTATATTTAAAACAAAAACAAAATATGCCAGGTCTTTCAGAAAATACAAAACGTAAGACAGCTATTACCATCTTGACCAAACAAGACAGGTGACCTTGTTTTATATCACACAAAAAATAAGACAGACTGAAAAGCAGTCTCACACACACAGACCAATGTTGGTCTAGTAATGATAGACTGGAGGCCGATTGTAAACGAACAATTATCTAAGTTACTGTACTCAAGGATGACAAGGACAACATAATACTTTAGGTCAATGCCCTACATAAACACTGTGAAAGTGTGCCAACATATGTAAATTAGCAGAAACAGCTACCTAAAGAACAGCAAGCAAGGTTAACCGGCAGATCAAAGTCACTTTGATTTTCCCCATCACATATTGTTTGAAGACTGAGCCCAAATGACCGTGAACAAAGGACATCTATACTAGATTGTGGGGATCTCCAGGGTGTTTGTTCTCGGAGGTCAAAGTCGAGGAATTTGCATGATGGCGGGAAACACATGCCAGTGACCTGGAATATTCCATTTTAACAAAGTGACATACCCCCACCCCCCCCTCCCACCCCCAAGATAAGGCCCCAGAACCCCCTAAAGGGGGGAAAAGGGGGTGGCGGGTGCACAACATACAAAAACAACAGTGTGAGAGCAATACCAATCAGTTAACTATACTCACTCAATTCTGACTGTGTCCTGTAACTGCTGTATCTCATCTTCCATCTTTCGACTTTCTGCCTCCTTCCTTCTCTTCACATCAATCACCCTCAAATCTTCTTGTCTCCTTATCTCTTCTTGCCTCTGAACCTCACCGTGTCTCCTCTGCTCCTCCTGCTTCTGCATCACCACTTTTTGCTCTTCCTGTAGTTTTAATGCTGCCCTTCTTCTCTCCTCCTTCTCTCGCTCTTCCTCCTCCTCTTCTTGCTGTACCCTAATCAGTTCGGCTTGTTTCTTCTTCCGCTCGTATTCTGCCTTCTGTCGTTTCAGCTCCTGTTTTTGTTGAGCCAAGAAAAACATGCTCAATGAAAGGAATAAACGTATATTTAACTCTCTTTCCTTGCACAAACAACTAAACAAAACGTAAATCCAAACTATTTATAATCTCAGTAGTTAATTATGTTTTTTTTAAAACTGTAAACTGTATGAAGCGGACCCTTCAGTGATTAATCACTTTAGTGAACTCTGTAACATTCATGAAGTCTCGAACCTTGACTCTTGGTCTCCCATGCTTATCATTATGCAAACTCGACCAATCTCATGTGAAACTCCAGCTGAACCCCTTTAGTACATATACACAGATCTCTACTCTTTTCTGGCCCCGCATCCCTTCACCTGGCAAAATGATCAACAAAGAACTCATAAACCACATGTGTTCCTTTAGCTGATAAATGCTGGAATATAGAATCCACAATTGCCAAGGTTGACAAAGCACACTGTGCTATAGTAATGATAAGAAGGCATTCTGTGCTTGTGCATAATAAAGATGGGTGCTGTTTTTATGTAAAACCTGCAAGCATTGTTAATATGTGGGTCAGAAGGCAGCAGCAGTTCATGCAAGCTGTTGACTGCAAGCACAATTCCATGCTAGTTCATGCCCTGCTGATCTCACGCTAGCTCTGCTTTCACTGTCAATATGTTCCTATCTAGACATTCAGCTGTGATTGGACAGTAGCCAGCTGACTTGCCTGGTTGTCCACGGATGACAGAGCCTCATAGACAAGGTGGCAGACAATTTTCTGGCAGGTAAGTCAATATGGTCACTGACCATCACCCACAACAATAACAATGCACCTAACTGAGCAGGAGAAGAAACTACTTCAAAAATAAAAAAAGAGAAGAAAAGCTTGGCTTATTAAAATGACGAAACTGTGGTGATTTCAACTCCTGAAATTATGTGTAGTGATTTTAAAATGGTGAAGAATTCAGGCAATAAAATTATAAACTGAACAATGTGGCTTATGAATTGTGTACATCAATCAAAACTAGTGAGAAATTAACTTCATGAAATGATCTGTTTTGATGATAAAATGGTGGTGGATTCATCTCATAAAACTACACTGTTTAATTACTTTTTTAAGTAAAGGATTTAATGTTCATGAAATCACTTGTTGATTGTAAAAGCATAGGGAGAAAAAAATACAATAAATGCCAACAGTTAATGACTCAGTCATAAATAAATGATTATAGAATGTCACAATGTATTGTTCATGATGAACCAGTTGTGAGAAACCAGCAAAAGATATATACAGGGACAACGAAACGGCCATACTGACGGCTGGATGTTTCCAAAAATGGGCAGCGGGGACGTACGGGTGTGGGCCACAAGTAACAATGAACCTTCATCCCAGTTTTCATGATTTCCCTTCCCCATTGAAGTAACAAAATATTGCTGTTATGTTATATTTTTTAATCGTCATGAGCTTTTTGAAAGACTTTAACTATTCTAGAAAGAACAGGGTAATACAGAAATATTAGTGATGCAAACAAACATTGGTGACTGGCAAACAAAGTAGAGACTGACAACCACACATGTCAAATGTTGAGCAAAGCTGTTGTACAGTGACCAACACATGTCAGACTGACCAATACCTAGCTCACAAACTGACCAACGCACCATGTCAGACTGACTAACACAGATGTCCAACTGACCAATATGCATGGCAAAGTGACCAATGCACCATGTCAGACTGACTAACACAGATGTCCAACTGACCAACATACATGTCAAAAGCTCTACAAAAACCTGACGTCTGGCCAATACTGACATTTAACACCGGGAAAGTGCAAAGATATGTGCTGCACTACGAGGAACTAGAAAACATGACATTTCACTGACCAATTCAGGTGTCATAGAATGGACAACAAATATGTCTAACAATAATCAGAATAGACCAATCAACATATAAGCTGGAGGCTGTCCAAGATAAATACTAGAGTATGGTCAACAAACAAGTCAAATACTGACCAGAAAACATGGAAGTAATTGACCAACATAGATATCAAATATAGACCAGTAAACATGACAGTAACTGACCAACATAGGGGTAAAATACTGACCAGTAAATATGACAGTAACTGGCCAACATCGAGGTAAAATACTGACCAGTAAATATGACAGTAACTGGCCAACATAGATATCAAATACCACTAAACATGACAGTAACTGACCAACATATATGTCAAACACTGACCAGAAATATGACAGTAACTGACCAACATATATGTCAAACACTGACCTGAAATATGACAGTAACTGACCAACATATAAGTCAAACACTGACCAGAAATATGACAGTAACTGACCAACAAATAAGTCAAACACTGACCAGAAATATGACAGTAACTGACCAACATATAAGTCAAACACTGACCAGAATATGACAGTAACTGACCAACATATAAGTCAAACACTGACCAGAAATATGACAGTAACTGACCAACATATAAGTCAAACACTGACCAGAAATATGACAGTAACTGACCAACATATAAGTCAAACACTGACAAGAAATATGACAGTAACTGACCAACATATAAGTCAAACACTGACCAGAAACATGACAGTAACTGACCAACATATATGTAAAACACTGACCAGTAAACATGACAGTAACGGAGGGGGGGGGGGGGGGTTGAGTCTAAGGACTGAGGGCCGCATGGCTAGTGCTGTCACTGTGGACTGTGCGGGTTATGATTTTATTTGTGCCCCTGGCAGAAGAAAATCAGTAACCTTGTTGTTGTGTGCAAAATCACTGGGGCGAATTCATGGGTGGCTGCAAACTGCCTGAGTTGTGTGGGGAATGTGAGGTCCACGTGTAACTGATTGCAGGTGGGGAAAAGGTCCTGTGGTAGTTTGAGTGAGTCAGTAGCTTTCAGTCAGTCTAACTATATGGACGTGTGTGTTGGGCTAATTTATATCCAGTAAAAACATGGACTGTGTTTTAGCAATGTTTTATTTATTCTTTCTGGTGGACTGCGGTGGATCCGAGCTGGACTTGGGAATTTCTAGAATGGAGTTGTGTCGGCCAGGTGTGTGGGGCTGACACGGTTGTGACTATGTGGCGTTGGTTATTGGTGCCCTGAAGTGCACAGAAAAGTGCTAGGAAACTTGTGTGAGCTGACCAATGTGGGATAGTGATGGCGAAGCATCAGAGGCTGATTAACGAGTAGTTAGTCAGTGATGCTTCATTGAGTGGCCGGGGTAGCAGACGGGAGGTCCGCAGTGGTGCATCTACCCGGAGTCTGTGAGGCGGGCTCCTTTAGAGAAAAAATGGTCAGAGGATTGTCACTGCACATCACAAAGGTTTTATCTGCGCAATCAGGTGTGAGTTACCTGTAGCAGGCACTAGGTAAATAGTTCGCTGGGGGGTGTTGTTCATGTTTAGAGGGAATGCTGATGTGAGTATTGGGTAGGCAGTACTAGACTTGACAGTCTGCCATCGTTCACCATCTTCTTCGTAATATGTTCATCCATAATAAAGACTGGTCGCACTATAAGATATACTTGGTGTGGTGTACTGATTTGCAGTACTCGTAAACAATGTTAATTGCTACGATAGGACACACTAACATGTTACGTGTGTCTGGAAATAAAGGTTGAGCTTTTGCTGGGTTGGCCCTCCTGCACTCTAGTTACGATCACCATCAGCCTGTGCCGTGTCAAGAAAAGTGGGAATCAAGAAACAGAGGAAATCCAGTGTGTAGGTGTGGAGCACTGACATATATACATATCCCCTAGATACTTGGCAAGCGTGTGGTACATCTCTCGACCGCACGCTTCACTTCCCTAGGATTCAAACCTGGGTCTCTAGCATGAGAGCTGAGCGTTCTTAAGTGTGCAGTTAACCACTCCTGTGTGTCTCTTTGAAACTGAAAAACTTGTAGTGTTCTAGCACTGTAGTTTTTGTTAGTGTATGTTGGGAAATCATTAGGGACTAAAAGGATTAAATATACTGACAAAACTGTGTTGATTTGGCTTTAGTATGTGATCAGAAGCTGGCTATAGTAAATCTGTAATGATGGGAACTAGCTACTTTCCAATGGGTTAGTTAGTCACATCAACACAAACAACTCTAACATGGGGTAAATAACTTGGGTTCAAACATGAATGAATATAAATGGATTTTAAAAAATGAAGATTTGAACTGAGAAACTGAAAAAATGAAAATGAATGAAAATGTGAAGTCAACAAAATTAAAATGATGCAAACAAAAATGAAGGAAAGATCAAGACTGACCCTGGTAAATTCATCCTCCATATCACCGGACATTATCCTAGGAGGACTCGGTGGTCTAGTCGACGAGCTTTCTCTCCCAAACCTCTCTAATCGGCTAGGCAACTGATAGATATTTCTCTCGTGTGTTACAGATTCTCTCTGATGTAAGTATGTTGAGTGGGAAGATAGTGGTAACTGCGAGCCATTAGTTAGATAATCCTTGGCAGGTTTGCTGTTCCCATAGCGGAAAGTTGGAGAGTCTGGTCTGTATCTTGTTAGGACAGCAGGGGAGTAAGCTCTGTGTGCTGTCTGAACAGTTGAACTTGCGTACTGTCTGGACTGGTAATCTGATAAACTAGTGTTGCTTCTCTGTCTGGTGAGAGAGCCGCTGGAGTCAGCCCCAGTGAATGAGTTATTGTGGCCTACTGTCTGACTGTCAGAACTGTGATGGGTGAAGGATGGGCTAGGAGACTGACGATTGGACGTGCCCAATGAAGATGAGGAGCTGTACATGGCTGAAGAGTGCGGGTGGGAAGTGGACGACGAGCTGATATGAGGGCGATAATGTGAATGTCTCAGATCATGGGGGTACTGGCGCTGGAGGTACTGTGAGTAGGAAGTTGATACATGAGCAGGTGAGGTCCTTCCAGGGATTGCTGGTTCTGGGTAAGTGTCTCCTTGTTGGGCTGATGGGATAGAATGCTGATGTAGAGCACTTGCACTCCTTGGCTGTGTGGCAAGGTTATGGCCACCAGTATTGGACACTGTGGTTTGATTCTGCTGCTGGGACTGGTCCGGTTGTTGCTGATGGTGGGGCAGATAACTTTGGTAAAATGTCTGATGATGGTGATCCCCCTTGTATTTCTTCAACATCTCCGGCTGATAATTATTGTTGTTTTCTTCACTAAGTGGATAAATCTATCAATCCGCGGATAATTGAATTTCCCAAGATGGCCAGCAGCAATTTGTGATGCAAACAAAACAAAACACAATTGGCAGTTAAATGTGCGAAATGCAGATCAGCATGCATCGGGCAATACCCACGTAACGTTGTCAAGATTCAAGCGATTCAAAACGTATTATTTGCACAGTATCAAGCCAGTTAGCAGACGCAGACGAAGCAGTGTGCACAAGCCCACATGATGATGGTGTGGATAATTTCCAAGGCCAGATTGCGGAGCAAAAATAAGAGAGAAGAAAAACAAACAAAAACAAAATAAACATATAAAAATACACAACATAACTTTTGTCATGCAAATAGAAAAATCATATTGTACTAGTCTATCAGGCTGGGGAACAAAACATCTCACAAACACAGCTCTACCATCGACAACAATGTCAACTGATATATTATCATACACTGCAGGATGTTGAGTTAAAAATAAACAAGAGTAAAGGACCCTTCTTAGGCCAATGGTACATCGGGCACATGATGATAGGCTCATATTTTTACAAACCAATCAGACTTTGGTGGGTAATATGGTTAACATCATACCAACCGCCTTTACTTCCCAGGACACAGCCTGGTACCCATTGTAGGCTAGAGCAAACTGACAGCCATGGTCAATTCTGTAAACAAATCGACTTGATGTGAATGTGAACCCAAGACTTGGAGGCGGACACTAGCCACTAGGCTGTCAAGACAACCCTTTCATGATGTAGCCAGGTAGTTCCATCTGACAGTGGACTGGGTTCCTTCCTATCAGTGATAGGAAATACAAGTCTGCAATCTAGTCTGGAGCATACATTTCCTACAAACCCTCTTCTGTTCATATGAACAAGTGCCCAATGATCATGTCTCCTACAATAATCCCCATGAATATTTGTTACATACATTCTTCTTCTTCTGTACCTAATGGAGCAACGTCCTCACTCAACTCAACCATGCTATCCTATCTGTTGTCACTGTGTGCACCTCACTCAACTCACCCATGCTATCCTATCTGTTGTGACTGTGTGCACCTCACTCAACTCACCCATGCTATCCTATCTGTTGTCACTGTGTGCACCTCACTCAACTCACCCATGCTATCCTATCTGTTGTGACTGTGTGCACCTCACTCAACTCACCCATGCTATCCTATCTGTTGTCACTGTGTGCACCTCACTCAACTCAACCATGCTATCCTATCTGTTGTCACTGTGTGCACCTCACTCAACTCACCCATGCTATCCTATCTGTTGTCACTGTGTGCACCTCACTTAACTCAACCATGCTATCCTATCTGTTGTCACTGTGTGCACCTCACTCAACTCAACCATGCTATCCTATCTGTTGTCACTGTGTGCACCTCACTCAACTCACCCATGCTATCCTATCTGTTGTCACTGTGTGCACCTCACTCAACTCAACCATGCTATCCTATCTGTTGTCACTGTGTGCACCTCACTCAACTCAACCATGCTATCCTATCTGTTGTCACTGTGTGCACCTCACTCAACTCAACCATGCTATCCTATCTGTTGTCACTGTGTGCACCTCACCCATGCTATCCTATCTGTTGTCACTGTGTGCACCTCACTCCAAGCCCTCCATTTTACACAGGTCACATTTAAAAAAAAATTCAAACTATTACCTGCGCTCCAGAACTTTTTGAAATATATAGATACATTAAAAGAGTAAGCAATAAACATGAATGGAGTGAAGCAATGAATGAAATACATTTATAGAGGCCTTTACACACAGATATAAGGTTACTTGTGCTGTGACTTTATGACCTCTTATCACTGAGGCTATGGGAAACTGAGAAACTTTTGATGCCAACATAGTTTTTTATTTTTATTTTGAGGTTCACAAGAAAACTGCTCCTATGTGATATTTTTTGTAAATATATTCATATCTGGATCTCCTAAACGCTGTGCAAGCGCTAACAGAACCAATGACATTAAACTACGCTTTTTGGTAACAGATCACTATATTTATACTGGTGTTCATCCTTTATGGGGATGTAGCAATGATAGAAATGCTGAGTCTGCAGCATACCAGGACAATAGTGTTAAAGTCTGTCTACCAACAGATTATAACTGACTATTCTGCTATCTTGCTGACAGTGCGGTTGCAAGAGCTTGGTCCAGTACTGGACAGAAGTGATGTTATCAATGTCATGCACAGCGCTTACTGGGACGACGAACACGCCAAAGGGCATGACTCCGTATCCATGTCTAGGTTCATGGACATGGGGAGCTGCAAGAAATGAATATTTCACTAAGGGGACAAGATGTTTCATTAACCAGCAGGCATCATCAGTCATTTTACATTTGTGGAGCTTCTGAGGAGGAGATCAGAGCACCTATGGATCTATAGGGGTGCTGTGATGATAAGATCCTTACAAATCACTCATTCTGCTATCACCTAAGACACCAATAACATATTAATATAATGAAGAAAAAAAGAGGATTCACAAGACTGGTGCATCTAAACAAGAAATATAGGAAATTTCAAACAATGAACATATGTGACCACTTTATGAAACTTAAAAACTCAATACCTTGTAAGTATGTCCACATTTGTTGACATTTGTCAGAGGAAAGAGAATATACATAATGCTGAACACTGTTGTTTCTACATCTTTTACAAGTTAGTGCACATCACAATCAACATCTGACTGTACATCTATGACAAGACAGCTAGAAACATTCACATCACAGAAAGAACACTAGGTTACCAGCACATCTATGACAAGACAGCTTAAAACATTCATATCACAGAGTGAACACTAGGTTATCAGCACATCTATGACAAGACAGCTTGAAACATTCACATCACAGAGTGAACACCAGGTTATCAGCACATCTATGACAAGACAGCTTTAAACATTCACATCACAGAGTGAACACCAGGTTACCGGCACATCTGTGACAAGACAGCTCAAAAGATTCACATCACAGAGTGAACACCAGGTTACTGGCACATCTATGACAAGACAGCTTTAAACATTCACATCACAGAGTGAACACCAGGTTACTGGCACATCTATGACAAGACAGCTCGAAACATTCACATCACAGAGTGAACACCAGGTTACCTTAACATCTATGACAAGACAGCTTAAAACATTCACATCACAGGGTGAAAACCAGGTTACCGGCACATCTATGACAAGACAGCTTGAAACATTCACATCACAGAGTGAACACCAGGTTATCAGCACGTCTATGACAAGACAGCTTAAAACATTCACATCACAGAGTGAAAACCAGGTTACAGGCACATCTATGACAAAACAGCTTGAAACATTCACATCACAGAGTGAACACTGGATTACCGGCACATCTATGACAAGACAGCTTAAAACATTTACATCACAGAGTGAAAACCAGATTACCGGCACATCTATGACAAGACAGCTCGAAACATTCACATCATGGAGTGAACACCAGGTTATCAGCACATCTATGACAAGTTGTTGCATTAAACAATAGGTTGCAGGGACTAAACAACTAGTGTTAAATAATATGACACAGGAATTTCCCATAAACTAATGTTAAACTACACTTCACAAGAAACTCACACAAACCAGTGTTAAACTATATTTTACAGGAACTATTCATTAACTACAGGTTATTACAAACCAGTGTTAAACTATATTTTACAGGAACTATTCATTAACTACAGGTTATTACAAACCAGTGTTAAACTATATTTTACAGGAACTATTCATTAACTACAGGTTATTACAAACCAGTCATCAAATGACAGTTGAAAGACTTTCTTTTATGCATGAAAGACAATGTGAACTCAATAATAAAGTTGCAGTGTGTGATTATCAAGTATGTGCAGCAACATGCCGGACATTGCCTCTCTTCTGCTGAGCAAACACAAGCAAAAGTCAGCCTACCTCCCCACTCTGCCAGCCATTTCTCTCGGACCCATCTGCGGTGCTGTATCCAGAATCATTGCTGAGCACAGTGTGCCTCTTCCACTTGGATTCTGGGGCTCCTAGCATGTTCTTCAAATCATCAGATGACCTGTTTGTAGACAAAGACCTAAATCATAGTTTGACAAATGGCTCTAAAAACCTGGCTGCGAAGAGATATCATCATCTACGCCAGTTGGTGAAGCAACTTTCAAAAGAAGAAGGTAATTACAATTGAAATCATATATACCAAAATTATGAATTCACACCCTGTTATACAATCTGAAGACCGGAATCTACTTTATTTTGTTTCTTGTGAACCTGTCACTCCACCAAGAAACTAGTATTTGAGACTGCATATAAACATAAACGATTGTGGAAGAAGAAAAACCACCATCGTCACAATGCTTTCCCTTTATCTTGCACACCCACAGAAGAGGCTTACATTCTATAAATCCCCGTGCAGGGAACCCACTTATTCTCTGGGGGGAAAAAAGTATTTCATAAGGGTCGACTAATTAAGCATTTCCTTCAAAGTCAGAGAACAATCGCCTGAGAGGCAAGGAACAAGCCTACATACAAATAAGTCAAATTTATAAAACATATGTGCAGGCAAAATTCAAGTTCTGGAACAAGTCTAGGGCCTAAAAGTGGACGAGCTCCCAGAAACTGCTACCAGAGTTTACAGCCGGTGAATGCAAAGAAGAAGAGATTTGCCGTGGTCAATCTTGCTTTTTGCCATAACAGAGCCCTCGAACCTCTAAGGGGAAAGGCAGATCTAATAAAAACTATTCTGTGGCTAACTGGATGCTACCACTGTCAAACCTGGAGCCTTATTAAAACTGAGTGCACAGTCATAGCCACAGAGATGAGATGTCACAGAAGAGCTGCCAGAGTCACAAGCAGAGATGAGATGTCACAGAAGAGCTGCCAGAGTCTCAAGCAGAGATGAGATGTCACAGAAGAGCTGCCAGAGTCACAAGCAGAGATGAGATGTCACAGAAGAGCTGCCAGAGTCTCAAGCAGAGATGAGATGTCACAGAAGAGCTGCCAGAGTCTCAAGCAGAGATGAGATGTCACAGAAGAGCTGCCAGAGTCTCAAGCAGAGGAGATGTCACAGAAGAGCTGCCAGAGTCTCAAGCAGAGATGAGATGTCACAGAAGAGCTGCCAGAGTCTCAAGCAGAGATGAGATGTCACAGAAGAGCTGCCAGAGTCTCAAGCAGAGATGATGTTTACAATGAAGACACTCCCTGTATGGGTCCCGCAGCCCTATCATAGAGAAAACCAGATTGGACTCATTGCCTGCCCAAAAGCCTTTTGTAAGAGTGGACTAATTGGGAGCTTCCTTCACAGTCAGAATGCATCTGCCTGAGAGGCAAAGAACCAGCAGTCTGCATACAAATGAGTCAGTTCTGTAAAATGGATGCACACGCAACACTCAGGTTTTGGAACAGGACTGCAGTCCAAAAGTGGATGAACAACCAGAACTTTCCGCCAGAGTTTACAGCTGGTGACTGCGAAGAAGAAGACAATGAAGAAATGATAAGACTAGGGTATGAAACCAGTCACTCAGTTTATTAAAGAAATGCTAAATATAACACAGTGTAACTAGAAAGCTCAACAGAAGGAATGGAAAAAACGTACATAAACGCAACAAAACATTTCGATCAGAGTACTAAATACAGCACAGACTGTGACGTAAACTAAACAGGCAAGAAATATGAATAAGTTACATTTATAAACAAGTAAATTACATAAAAATAAAGCTGTGCTGAATACTGATCCCTCCAGGACTAAGAATGCCAAAACTATGGATGAAACGATTTTCTAATGAGTAGCAGCTGGTTTGATCACCAAAGCAAGATTTAATGGCAGTGACTGAGATACCGTTTTTACTATGGTGGTCAGGTTTGTCACCCTTTTTACGAATGTCAGCATGATGTTCACGGAAGTGATCTGCGAGCTTCTTTCCAGGTTCATATGCCATTTTTACATCTGCATAAATCAGGTTATGCGATTCACAAGTAAATGCTTCTCTAATATGAAATAAACCCTTCGGGAAGCAGATCGAAGGAATGTGGATCACAAATGGACATGTTTTTTATCTTTTACTGGAGCAGTTGGAGGTGCCGAAAGGTACTGTTTTCTGGATCGGAGGCAGTCTGCTTCCGACAAGCATGTTCTTAAGATTACAGACTCGCCTGTTCACCACTCTAGGGTTGTCACTAAAGATCTCATGGGTGTCAGGATCAGAGCGAAGAATAAAAGGGTGGTAAAGGAAGATTCTTTTATTAGGGTGGATCAGTTTAAGAATGGGTGAGAGGATGTACAGAGAAGATAGTTATGAGAATCAGTAGGTTTATTATAGGCGCAGGTGGTTAAGAAAGGAAAGTTGATGCCAATCTTGAAGTCCAAGAAATTCACGGAAGTGGAACGAACGAACAAACAAACTTTAAGAACTGGGCAGGCAGGCCCACCTAACATTCTGCCCTTCGAGGTATCCCTCCATTCTTACATCATATAATACATTCATGAAATAATTAAAAGTGGTGGAAATCAAGGAGCTGAATTAAATAGTGAGATTAAAGGTGCTAATGAAATTAATGATTTGGTCGAGTTCATCTCTTGACATTTCAGTAATACCAACACCATCACCTATGTACCTCCTGTATACTTCAGGAAGCTTTCCTGTGTTTATAGATCAAAATTGATGTTTGAGAAAATGCGTGAATGCCCTGATAAGAACTGCCACAGAAAGCCATGCTGAAGAAATACAATGCATACAGATGAAGAGGAAAACCACACAGATAATAGAATGATGGCATCAAAAATAGCCTTAAGGATATAAAGATCAACTTATAGGTGTTGGGAAAAGCAGACCGTAGACCCTTACATCCCATCGTAACACTGATAAAGTCACTGGAGGCAGAGACAAACAAGGAAAAAGATTCTGATACACCTCTACAACTATCTTTATCCCACCAATGCTTTGTGCCCCTACAGTTTCATTCTCCTCCCCCCCCCCCCCCCCCCATTCTTGTAACTGATATCACATAACATATACAGACAGTACTTACTGATGAGGTGGCAAGGATTTCCTGGCAAACTTTTTAATGTCTGAATCACTGCCCATCAAAATGCCCCTCTTCCTGTCTTCCTTGATTGCTTCAATTTGCAGGAATTTCATGATGTGCTGCCTTCCTTTGATGCAAACCTGTTTGAGAAATACATGTTTGTGCACCAGCAGTAATCTCATGTTTGTTCTCTGTTTTCATAATGACGTCTACTGTACCGCTAGCATGCGCAACAAGTTTATTTGTGCTGTGGGGCTTAACTTTCTGAGTCCCAAGAAACGTGCCATGGGCTATTTGGTAACCACCCAGCCGCCTAACTGGCACATAATACGTAATTTACTATAGTTTGTAATTTACTACTAACCAGTATAAAAATAGGATTGTGATCTGGACAATTTGAAACTTCCCTTCCAGTCCTGTGTTCAATAACACACATGCTGAACATTAAGTTTATTTGGAAATGTGGTTAAAAGCCTAAAATGTGTGTATATCAGATTTATCGGGAGTTAGATGAAGAAAGTTGCGAAGCAGACTTGCTTCTGTTATTTAGAGTCGGGTCAAACTCTGATGAGGGACAGCTTTAACATGAGCATTGTGCAAAGCATACAACGATAGCACAATCAGATGGAACAAATATAATCAATATTGGGTGTCAGTTCTAGTGCTATTCACTTTATTATTTAGGAACATAGCTACAATATTACAGGCAAACTGAGTGTTATATGTTTAATGGTTTTAGGAAGTCATTTTTCTTTACCAAATAATAGTGCTCGGTTACGATATTCCTTAAGATCCTCTGTAGTGACATCTAATGTACAGAATGCGTTTACATTTGGTATATTAAGTAGTCCATGTTCATTTATGATTCATTTTGGTTATATTTTATGGAGTTTTCCTTGAGCTCCATGGTGGTAAGTGGACAACATTATTATTTCATTTTACTAATTTCTCTAAACATCTTGTCTGTTTATTTACTAAAATTTAACTACTAAAACAATTCTTTTAATTAGCAGTATAGTAATATTATTCCTCAACTATCCTGGTGACTTGGATGTATACAATATGTTATGTTGCACTGCAGCTGAATTAGTATGGTCTGCTTTAATATGTTACAAACGCAAGATTTCAAAACTGCCTTGCCGTAGACTTGCCTTTCACCTCTGCAGGTCTTTTACGTGCTATTTGTAACTGTGTGCTATTTTCACAACGGAGGCTGGCTACACTGTACCAACTGCTGTCTTCAGAAATAATCCACGGTGAGGACCCAGCAATCCTTTCGGCTTCAGCAAACGCTAAATACAAGCTTGGCTGTGTGATACAAGCTTGGCTGTGTGATACAAGCTTGGCTGTGTGATACAAGCTTGGCTGTGTGATACAAGCTTGGCTGTGTGATACAAGCTTGGCTGTGTGATACAAGCTTGGCCGTGAGTGAGTCACAGATTCTGTCAGTACAGGACCCACTGATGAACCAGGCATCTGATGTCAAGAATAGAACAATCAGTACTTGTTAGTGGGTGATGCGGCCACACCAGCCGCTTTGACTTCCAGTACATAACCTGGTATCTATGTAAGGCTTGCTAACCCTCTCACATAAAGTATGTTATACTGACTAATGTGCCGCTAGGTTTCTAGTTTCAGGCAGCCATGTAGGTACCCAGACAAATCTGCATGAAGACATGTAAACAATCAATTTTACAGTTGATGTTTTGCTTTCACCAGTCAGGTATTTATTTCACGGTAAACACAGACACATTCTCTGCCGGAAGATCCCATTACTAGTTTCTATACCATATCAAACATCATGGTCAGTCGGAAAGAACAGTAGCTGAGGAGATGTTAACCGCTAAAAGGGATCGGACTCGTCCTAGCATGAAGATTGGCACAGAGGATATAAAAGATACCTTGAGCAGGAAAGTGCAAGATTTAGCAGAACTGGTGATGAAGTGAGTTCCTTCCAGGCAAGCTGTGATTGGAGCACTGTTCTGTATCATAGTCTCTACTTTTACCTGCTGTCAATTCTGAATATCTCATTTCATACCTTAGATAAAAATGTAAAATTAACGAGGAGTAGATACTTTTCTTGGTGTTTTCTTGTATCACTGGTGTGCAACCATATCATAAGAGAACTGACAGGGAAAAGAAACAGAATGAAGTTAACTGAAGCCTGCTATGAGAGGAAGAAAAACACTGCATGACTCACATATGCTGGGGGTGATGACAATGGATTGTTGTCCAAAATAAACTGTTCCAGTGTTTCCATTTTGCGAAAGACAGTTGGGATTTTCTCAATCCTGTTGTTGGAGAAATCCAACTTGTACAGCTGAAGGCGGGAGATTTCTGCGACACACATAATATATTCAAACATGAGGTTTTGCATAAACACACATAATACATTCAAACATGAAGTTCTCCACAAACACACATATTACATTCAAACATGAGGTTCTGCACAAACACACATAATACATTCAAACATGAGGTTCTGCACAAACACACATAATACATTCAAACATGAGGTTTTGCACAAATACACATAATACATTCAAACATGAGGTTTTGCATAAACACACATAATACATTCAAACATGAGGTTTTGCACAAATACACATAATACATTCAAACATGAGGTTTTGCATAAACACACATAATACATTCAAACATGAGGTTCTGCACAAACACACATAATACATTCAAACATGAGGTTTTGCATAAACATACATAATACATTCAAACATGAGGTTCTGCACAAACACACATAATACATTCAAACATGAGGTTCTGCACAAACACACACAATACATTCAAACATGAGGTTCTGCATAAATGCACGCACACATACAAGTTTGTACAAGACATCTATACTATACTTTGTCAAAAAGCATAATTATCAGATAGTTTTTAGCCTATTTGTACTAGGTGACCAGGGTGCTAAAGATAAAAGAGAATTCTGCCTGCTTCTACAGCCGCTGGCCCATGGAACTGACCCAGCTGGCCCATGGAACTGACCCAGCTGGCCCATGGAACTGACCCAGCTGGCCCATGGAACTGACCCAGCTGGCCCATGGAACTGACCCAGCTGGCTAGTATTTACACTTCAAGCTTCCACCTGATCAAACAGCATGGTATACTTGTTCTCTGAGCAAAGCTATGGCATTAGTTGCAAGCTGTAGGTTTCAATCCAGTCTGCTTGGAATCCTGTTGCCAGAATGTCATAGTTTAAGTGATTGGCCTCTCTATCTCTTACCCGAGCACCAACATGCCATACACAGCACTGTGATTCATAGCAAGTAGAACACGGGTAGATGCTGCAAGCAATGAATCATCATTATCATCATGTAGCAGGTACTTTGCAGAACGTCACTATCATCATGGCCTGCCTGAAAGAAATGTTGTCTCTCGCCAGCTCTCCCACCACATGCACTTTTATGATTTAGATGACAGATCAACATCATGGCACAATGGTAGTAACCCATAAGTGCTCTGTTATACTTCTGACTCAAACCTGAGTCCAAAGAATCTGAAGTGCATGAACTCTGTAGCACCGGCGAGGATCCTGAAATACTTTTGAGTAGATTTTCAACTCAAAATTTTGCCCGGGCAGCGCTGTTAGGCTCTTTTTCGATTTTGAACTGCCAGGGGATTTTTTACGTGCGCAGCAGTACACATGGGAGCCTGATCATACTACCCAGAGACCAGGGGGGGAATTACCAGAGGTCCATGCGAAAAATGCCAGCTTTCACACCGAGACCTCCAGCGCTCGACGCCATGCCTTTAGACCATGCAGCCCCTCCCATTTTTATATTCAAGGAGTCACTTTTATCAGATGCACGTCTTCATGTTGTTCAGCCCCTGTTCCTCCTTCCAGGTACCATGCCCTTTGCTAATATTGTTCCTATCCGCTTTGGTGCTTGATATGAACAAAATATTTCAGCTTCTGAAACAAGATGCTGTTTAAGGACCATTTTGAGATATTCACAATGTATGTGACATTTTTCATGTCTTCGTCGTTTATTGTTATTTTTGGGTGCAGTCAGTTTTGTCTATGGACAATGAATGGATCAGCAACACACACAAAAGCAGATACAATGAACACTAATGTGTAGTCTACACAAAGATATCCTCTCAAAGTACTGAAATGACTGCACAAATAACAGGTGGGTTTTAAAGCAAAACACCTCACTGTACCTCCAGATGGCAGACAGGGCACACTGTGATATAGCTTATGCAGCTCTGGGCACCAAGCACCCATGGGATCAGTTGACACTAGAATTGTTTAACAAGTTTGACTGCTTTCATACCCCAGCAATGTTAACACTGGTAAGGTGGTGGCAGACTTAACAAAACAAGTTGATGCCAAACACAAAAGGAAATCAACATTAGGGCTACATACGGGGCTGTCATTATTAAATAACTGACAAAGGTGGAATGGAATCACTGTAAAGGTTAATGTCCAACAAAAGGGCTGATAAACACAATGTTGACTCTTACTTTTTTCCATAAACCCCTCCCAACTAAAATGATATAAGGCCTATCAAGGGCTCACCAATAAAAGGGCTGATAAACACAATGTTGACTGTAATACTTTCTTCCATAAACCCTTCCTACCTGAATGATATAAGGCCTATCAAGGAAAGCAGAGAGAACTACAAAGAAAGTCTTCTTTGTGACTTCCAAAGGAGAGTAGAAGGTCTCTTTGTTGACTTTTGTACAGTTTATTATCCACAGTCAGACACAGACATTCCACCAACAACAACCAAACTTGACTTACCAACAGGCAGCTCTACGAGAAAGTTTCTCCGCAAATTGAGGCAGCGCAGAGAGGACAAGTCTCCTATTTGTACTGGTAGATGAGACAGTTCATTACAGCTGACGTCCTGACATTAATGGCATAACAATGGTGAAAGTCAGCTTCAGCGAAATAACAGATACAAGAAATATCAATGGTAAAATACAATATATCATTGGGGGATGCAGAATATGCCTGAGACAGGTATTAATGTTCATATGTATTTTAGTGACACCAATGAGATTACTCATCTTATTGTGTCTACAGCCTTCTGTCACGTGCTTTTATTTATATATACACGTTTCTCCACAAAATGCAAGCTGTTCTGGATCTTTTCTTGGGGTCTTTCCCTTCTTCTTCAACATTCTGAGCCATTAAGGTTCATTGCTGAAGACATCACCAACCTCCGTTCATCTCTCTGGTTGGCCTTTTTCCTCAGCATTCTGAGCCTTTAAGGTTCATTGCTGAAGACATCACCAACCTCCATTCATCTCTCTGGTTGGCCTTTTTCCTCAGCATTCTGAGCCTTTAAGGTTCATTGCTGAAGACATCACCAACCTCCATTCATCTCTCTGGTTGGCCTTTTTCCTCAGCATTCTGAGCCTTTAAGGTTCATTGCTGAAGACATCACCAACCTCCATTCATCTCTCTGGTTGGCCTTTTTCCTCAGCATTCTGAGCCTTTAAGGTTCATTGCTGAAGACATCACCAGCCTCCGTTCATCTCTCTGGTTAGCTTTCTCTTTCCAGTTGTTGACGACCGCAGTCTTTTTAGAAACGAAACAGCTCTTGCCAAGAGGTCACATTTGCCTCTGATGTTTATGAGGGATTCGAGAATAAACAGGAGACGGTGATGGCGACTCTTGATCTTGAGGATGCCTACAGCAGAGTCAGATATGACATTTGCACTCAAGGAGAAAGGTCTGTGTCCCTGACTGGTGAACTGGATAACAGCTGTCCTACATTCATGTAAAGTTGTTTTCCGCCTGGGTACACGTGCCGGGATTACCTTAGGGTTGTGGCTGTTTCATGGTGCTCTCTGTACAATAGAACTGTAAGAGCTGATGTTCCAGGTCTCACAGTTCATGACAGAAACATTCAAATGGAAAGACAACTGAGGTGCCTGGGTATGACTTTTGATAGAAGCCTGTCCTTCAGGGATCATGCGGAGGCAGTTGCAGTGAAATGCCAAAAAGAACTCAATGCACTTAAGGTTATGGCAGCAGCAATAACACGGAACAAAGAATGTTGTTCCCAATGTTCCAGATTTGTTTCTGTGACAGTTTATGGATTTGGAGTGTTCACCATATCAAAGTGTCAGCTTATGAAACTGAACGCATACAGAATGAAGTCATGAGGACAATTTTGGGATGTGCAAGAAATACCCCCAGTAGTATGTGTGCATGCAATATATACTTGCACGGCCGGCCGACTACTACAGATAGGCTCAAAGTGCTTTAGGATAAGTAATATCACAGAGTAGCTGCAGATAAGAAACACCTCCTGCATGAAGCCCTAGACAGATCAGACTGAGAAGAGTAAGGTCTTGGATGGCGCAAGCTGAAGATACAATTAGACATGTGTGTAGGCTTGATAAACAAAGCTCATGGGGGGGTTCTTAGCAAAAGTGAATGGACGTCCCTTGGTGCAGATAAACCTGGCATGTGACACCACATCTAGTTTGAGAATGGAGGTGGAGGCAGTCACTTTTGTGGGCTTAAGAATCAGCTGTATACATGTCGTTATTATAACCGACTCACAGAGCATGTGGACAACAGTGGAGAAGGGCATGCTCCATGAAGAGTGGCAAACATTACGTCAGAGATCCCGGGTAATTAACATCCTTTGGATATTTTCCCCCGAGACAGGCTGGTGTACTAGCAAATGAACAGGTAGATAGACAGGCTGGTGTACTAGCAAATGAACAGGTAGATAGACTGGCTAGTGTACTAGCAAATGAACAGGTAGATAGACTGGCTGGTGTACTAGCAAATGAACAGGTAGATAGACAGGCTGGTGTACTAGCAAATGAACAGGTAGATAGACTGGCTGGTGTACTAGCAAATGAACAGGTAGATAGACTGGCTGGTGTACTAGCAAATGAACAGGTAGATAGACTGGCTGGTGTACTAGCAAATGAACAGGTAGATAGACTGGCTGGTGTACTAGCAAATGAACAGGTAGATAGACTGGCTGGTGTACTAGCAAATGAACAGGTAGATAGACTGGCTGGTGTACTAGCAAATGAACAGGTAGATAGACTGGCTAGTGTACTAGCAAATGAACAGGTAGATAGACTGGCTGGTGTACTAGCAAATGAACAGGTAGATAGACTGGCTGGTGTACTAGCAAATGAACAGGTAGATAGACTGGCTAGTGTACTAGCAAATGAACAGGTAGATAGACTGGCTGGTGTACTAGCAAATGAACAGGTAGATAGACTGGCTGGTGTACTAGCAAATGAACAGGTAGATAGACTGGCTGGTGTACTAGCAAATGAACAGGTAGATAGACAGGCTGGTGTACTAGCAAATGAACAGGTAGATAGACTGGCTGGTGTACTAGCAAATGAACAGGTAGATAGACTGGCTGGTTCTGCACAACTTGGTGGTGAATAGTGAACTGATGCATGACAAGCTAAATGTTGTAAGGGTCTTTTAGGGGCCAGTGAACAGCGCAGAAGCAAAGACGGATCAGCATGGTCTAAAGAGAATGGTATTTCCAGGAGTGACCAGGGGATCAGCACTCAAGGGAAAGGTGAGGCAGGTATACAATCAGACTGATATTGGTACCAATGGAATTGGAACGCTGTGATTGATGCTGAAGATGGGGATGCACCAGTTATGTGAATATCCAGAGTACTGTGATGATTCTTAATTAAACACTAAACATTCGACACCAAGTGTTTGAATGTCTGCATGGATTGTATCTCTCCAATATCTTTTGGATCTGCCCTGTGGTCTATGACAATTCAACTCCCTTGTGAACACCGTTTGTGCCTCTCTGTCACCTGCCATTCTCTCAATATGCCCCAGCCATTTCATTCTATCAGCCCTTGTGCCTGGGGTAAGGGTGGCTTAAACTGATTATGAATATTTCACTGTTGTTTAACATTCTCCATTCCACGCTCTCCAGTTACAACCTCTCTGTTCTTGTCCAGCTGACTCTCTGCATCCTGTGAATACAACAGCACAAGTTGATCACTGGGCAGGGCTGTTGTCATTCGTGAGCTTAGCACCAGCAAAGTTTCACAACTGCTGCAATAAAAGAATGCCCAGACTGTGCATGTGCAGGTTGACCCTGCTACCTACCAGGTCCATCAGGCTGCTCAGGTGCTTGATCTCCTCCGGCAGTGACACCAACTTGTTGTTGCTGACATGGAGAACTTCCAGAGCACCCAGCATACACAAGGCAGGTGGCAGTGTTGTCAGTTGATTGCGGCTATGGATTATAAAGAAAAACCAATACATCACTTGCGTAAACAAAAACCTGGATCGAAAGTCAACAGCATTTGAAAACAAATGACTGAGAAAATTGATGAATATTTAATTGGATGAATTTAAGAAGGGCAAAGACAGGTAAGAAATATATGGCCAACTGCTGGAATTAAAACTTACAAGACTCAGAAGAATACTTAGTATTGTTTAATGAAAACTAGTTAAAGCTGATCAAGAAAAACATGATTACTTCAAATAATTCAACAAAAATTTTTTTTTAAAGTAAAGGACCCTTTTACAAGCCTTTAGATGGGTGATGTGGTCAGCATCACGCCGGCCGCCTCTAATTCCCGGGACTGCACCCGGTACCCACTCAAGGTTGGGTCGACCTGGGTGCCAAGGTCATTTTTTTTTAAAAGTCCGGCTCCGCCAAGGAGCAAACCCACAACCTTCTGATCCACAGCAAGTGTCTAGCCGCTCCGTCACGGGGACTCCCAACAAAAAATATGCCGGACTATTAATAGAAAGAGTCATTACTAACCTCAGGATAATATGTGTGTGAGAGCTAGCTGCTGATGGTATTAACACAGGATAAGATGTGTGTGAGCTAGATGCTGGTGGTATTAACACAGGATAAGATGTGTGTGAGCTAGATGCTGATGGTATTAACACAGGATAAGATGTGTGTGAGCTAGATGCTGGTGGTATTAACACAGAATAAGATGTGTGAGAGCTAGATGCTGGTGGTATTAACACAGGATAAGATGTGTGTGAGCTAGATGCTGGTGGTATTAACACAGGATAAGATGTGTGTGAGCTAGATGCTGATGGTATTAACACAGGATAAGGTGTGAGAGAGCTGGCTGCTGATGGTATCAACACAGTATAAGGTGTGTGAGAGCTAGATGCTGATGTTCTTACCACAAGAAAAGGTACATGACAGCTAGCTACTGATGTTCTTACCACAGGAAAAGGTACATGACAGCTAGCTACTGATGTTCTTACCTCAGGATAAGATGTGTGAGAGCTAGCTGCTGATGGTATTAACACAGGATAAGGTGTGCGAGAGCTAGCTGTTAACAGTATTAACACAGGATAAGGTGTGAGAGCTAGCTGTTAATGGTATTAACACAGGATAAGGTGTGAGAGCTAGCTGTTAATGGTATTAACACAGGATAAGGTGTGAGAGCTAGCTGTTAATGGTATTAACACAGGATAAGGTGTGCGAGAGCTAGCTGTTAACAGTATTAACACAGGATAAGGTGTGTGTCAGCTAGCTGTTAACAGTATTAACACAGGATAAGGTGTGTGAGAGCTAGCTGTTAATGGTATTAACACAGGATAAGGTGTGTGTCAGCTAGCTGCTGATGGTATTAACACAGGATAAGGTGTGAGAGCTAGCTGTTAATGGTATTAACACAGGATAAGGTGTGTGAGAGCTAGCTGTTAACAGTATTAACACAGGATAAGGTGTGTGAGAGCTAGCTGTTAATGGTATTAACACAGGATAAGGTGTGCGAGAGCTAGCTGTTAACAGTATTAACACAGGATAAGGTGTGCGAGAGCTAGCTGTTAACAGTATTAACACAGGATAAGGTGTGCGAGAGCTAGCTGTTAACAGTATTAACACAGGATAAGGTGTGTGAGAGCTAGCTGTTAACAGTATTAACACAGGATAAGGTGTGTGAGAGCTAGCTGTTAACAGTATTAACACAGGATAAGGTGTGTGAGAGCTAGCTGTTAATGGTATTAACACAGGATAAGGATGTGTGAGAGCTAGCTGTTAACAGTATTAACACAGGATAAGGTGTGTGTGAGCTAGCTGCTGATGGTATTAACACAGGATAAGGTGTGTGAGAGCTAGCTGTTAATGGTATTAACACAGGATAAGGTGTGTGTCAGCTAGCTGCTGATGGTATTAACACAGGATAAGGATGTGTGAGAGCTAGCTGTTAATGGTATTAACACAAGATAAGGTGTGAGAGCTAGCTATTGATGTATTTACACAGGATGTGTTAGAGCTAGTTCTGATGGTATAAACGCAGGATAAAATGTGCGAGAGCTAGCTACTGATGGTATTCACACAAGATAAGGTGTGTTCTAGCTAGCTACTGATGGCATAAACATGGGATAAGGTGTGGGAGAGATAGCTGCTGATGGTTTAAACACAGGATAAAATGTGTGAGAGCTGGCTGTTGATGGTATGAACACAGGATAAAATATGTGAGAGCTAGATGTCAACAGTATTGTCACAGGATAAGGTGTGTGAGAGCTCACTACCTCAGGATAATTTTTTTTTAAAGTAAAGGACCCTTTTACAAGCCTTTAGATGGGTGATGTGGTCAGCATCACGCCGGCCGCCTCTAATTCCCGGGACTGCACCCGGTACCCACTCAAGGTTGGGTCGACCTGGGTGCCAAGGTCATTTTTTTTTAAAAGTCCGGCTCCGCCAAGGAGCAAACCCACAACCTTCTGATCCACAGCAAGTGTCTAGCCGCTCCGTCACGGGGACTCCCAACAAAAAATATGCCGGACTATTAATAGAAAGAGTCATTACTAACCTCAGGATAATATGTGTGTGAGAGCTAGCTGCTGATGGTATTAACACAGGATAAGATGTGTGTGAGCTAGATGCTGGTGGTATTAACACAGGATAAGATGTGTGTGAGCTAGATGCTGATGGTATTAACACAGGATAAGATGTGTGTGAGCTAGATGCTGGTGGTATTAACACAGAATAAGATGTGTGAGAGCTAGATGCTGGTGGTATTAACACAGGATAAGATGTGTGTGAGCTAGATGCTGGTGGTATTAACACAGGATAAGATGTGTGTGAGCTAGATGCTGATGGTATTAACACAGGATAAGGTGTGAGAGAGCTGGCTGCTGATGGTATCAACACAGTATAAGGTGTGTGAGAGCTAGATGCTGATGTTCTTACCACAAGAAAAGGTACATGACAGCTAGCTACTGATGTTCTTACCACAGGAAAAGGTACATGACAGCTAGCTACTGATGTTCTTACCTCAGGATAAGATGTGTGAGAGCTAGCTGCTGATGGTATTAACACAGGATAAGGTGTGCGAGAGCTAGCTGTTAACAGTATTAACACAGGATAAGGTGTGAGAGCTAGCTGTTAATGGTATTAACACAGGATAAGGTGTGAGAGCTAGCTGTTAATGGTATTAACACAGGATAAGGTGTGAGAGCTAGCTGTTAATGGTATTAACACAGGATAAGGTGTGCGAGAGCTAGCTGTTAACAGTATTAACACAGGATAAGGTGTGTGTCAGCTAGCTGCTGATGGTATTAACACAGGATAAGGTGTGTGAGAGCTAGCTGTTAATGGTATTAACACAGGATAAGGTGTGTGTCAGCTAGCTGCTGATGGTATTAACACAGGATAAGGATGTGTGAGAGCTAGCTGTTAATGGTATTAACACAAGATAAGGTGTGAGAGCTAGCTATTGATGTATTTACACAGGATGTGTTAGAGCTAGTTCTGATGGTATAAACGCAGGATAAAATGTGCGAGAGCTAGCTACTGATGGTATTCACACAAGATAAGGTGTGTTCTAGCTAGCTACTGATGGCATAAACATGGGATAAGGTGTGGGAGAGATAGCTGCTGATGGTTTAAACACAGGATAAAATGTGTGAGAGCTGGCTGTTGATGGTATGAACACAGGATAAAATATGTGAGAGCTAGATGTCAACAGTATTGTCACAGGATAAGGTGTGTGAGAGCTCACTACCTCAGGATAAGATGTATGATAGATTAGCTAGTGACGTTCTTACACCAGGATAAGGTGTGTGACAAGTAGCTAGTGATTATCTTACACCAGGATAAGATGTATGATAGGTTAGCTAGTGACGTTCTTACACCAGGATAAGGTGTGTGATGACTAGCTAGTGATGTTGTTACCTCAAGATAAGATGTGTGATGGCTAGTTACTGATGTTCTTACCTCAAGATAAGATGTGTGATGGCTGGTTACTGATGTTCTTACCTCAGGATAAGATGTGGTGAGATCTAGCTACTGATGTTCTTACCTCAGGATAAGATGTGTGACGGCTAGTTACTGATGTTCTTACTTCAAGATAAGATGTGTGATGGCTAGTTACTGATGTTGTTACCCCAGGATAAGATGTGGTGTGAGATCTAGCAACTGATGTTCTTACCTCAGGATAAGATTTGGTGTGAGATCTAGCTACTGATGTTCTTACCTCAGGATAAGATGTGTGAGAACTTGCAGCTGTTGTATAGAATCAGATATAGTACGTATGACATTGTGGTAGCAGTTGATTTTCTCCACAAACAAATATTCACACACTTCATGGGGAACTTCTGTTAAACGATTCCTGGAGATATCTGAAATGTGATAATCATGCTAGCATTCAATAGAGCAATATATTCAAGAAAACTTTACACACTTTGGGACGGGCTACCACACGAAGACATGTATATGAAAGCCAAGACAGCCAGCTACCCCCACCTAAGTATAAATAGCAGCAATGAGGAATACACTAATGCTGTCTAGACATATAATTTTAAATAAATTGCCATGGTGTGTCTTTGGATTATGATTTCACACAAGTATCTGTTATATTTCAGGTCACTTGTTTTTAAAGACTGCAACCACGTCATGGTTTTAATTTAGCTGCAGTGTGCTGTTAGAAGAAATGGACTCTAGAATTAGGTTACAGCTGGCAAGAAGGATGGAAACAGAGTCAGGAGAAGGCAAAGAGATAAATACCTTGATAGCTCAGCCATTTGAATGGGGTAACAGAAAAACAGTGACCTGATTTGTGATTCTGGTGATCATGTGAGATGGCGAAACATGACTGCTTATGCTTATCAGTGCTGCATATGATAATATTCTGAGACCCAAACAGTTGCTGCGTCACTCTAAATATGGGCAGGTAAAAATACATCCACAAATTTGCAACAAACATTTTAGCTTACTAGCCGCAGTTATGTGGTTTTATATATGAATAATTCATAATGAGAATAACAGGGACAGATAAAAAGAATTATGAAGATGTCTTTAAAAAAAATAATACAAAAGCTAACCTATAGGGAAAAAAACTGACTGCTGACATCAGGAGACATCTACATTGTTTGATGATGTCAGGAGGAGACAACACAAGTACATGCAGACAAGATGCTGGACATTTGGACATCATGGCATGGAAGATGATCTGCATCAGAACAGATTGAATCTATAATATGAGACATGACTTAACTATCAACGCCCCTCAGCATGGACTATGAGACATGACTTAACTATCAACGCCCCTCAGCATGGACTATGAGACATGACTTAACTATCAACGCCCCTCAGCATGGACTATGAGACATGACTTAACTATCAACGCCCCTCAGCATGGACTATGAGACATGACTTAACTATGAACGCCCCTCAGCATGGACTATGAGACATGACTTAACTATGAACGCCCCTCAGCATGGACTATGAGACATGACTTAACTATGAACGCCCCTCAGCATGGACTATGAGACATGACTTAACTACCAATGCCCCTCAGCATGGACTATGAGACATGACTTAACTACCAATGCCCCTCAGCATGGACTATGAGACATGACTTAACTATGAACGCCCCTCAGCATGGACTATGAGACATGACTTAACTATCAACGCCCCTCAGCATGGACTATGAGACATGACTTAACTATGAACGCCCCTCAGCATGGACTATGAGACATGACTTAACTATCAACGCCCCTCAGCATGGACTATGAGACATGACTTAACTATGAACGCCCCTCAGCATGGACTATGAGACATGACTTAACTATCAACGCCCCTCAGCATGGACTATGAGACATGACTTAACTACCAATGCCCCTCAGCATGGACTATGAGACATGACTTAACTACCAATGCCCCTCAGCATGGACTATGAGACATGACTTAACTATGAACGCCCCTCAGCATGGACTATGAGACATGACTTAACTATCAACGCCCCTCAGCATGGACTATGAGACATGACTTAACTACCAATGCCCCTCAGCATGGACTATAAGAAGCATTCTTTCTCTATCTGTGTGTTACCCATAAGGAAGGCAAAGAACAGGAGCACCATAACGTGTCATAAGTAGTGACTAGGGAGGGTTGGTATGAGACTGTCTAAATCCTCATGTAGAAGACTTGGAAAACACAGAGGGCTTTGTGTGGATTTGTTGGCATCAGCTCCACAGAGACAGACAAAGAAGGAGAGAAAAATGGAGGGGAGAAAAAGAAGAGACGTCTCTATGCACCCCCCTCACCCTAAACAAAAAAATTAATTATTACATGAAAGATGGCTAACAGTAAAGTTGACTGAACCCACAGTTCAAAACTGGAAATTATGACTGCCCCCTAAAACTTTTAGGTTTCATATTTTTGATTAAAAAGTGAAACAGAAGACTGCAGATGAAAAGATCATTAAAGAGGCCAAATCAAAATACCATTTAAAATTAATTTTTTTTCCTATGTAACCACTGCATGCCAAATAACATTCACGCGGTTGCATAATTGTGCAATTAAAGTCTTTTGAACTATGAGCAATAGTCTTTTTCTTAGTTAATCAGTTAATGTTATGCAATTACCATATTTTTTACACAACAGTACTGTTCTGCTTCATTTCCTGACTGGAGTCCATGTGTGTACTGAGCTATGTGTGAGTAATTAAATAATTAATTATCTAACAATTCCTGTGTAGGTCGTTAAACATTAAAAAACTAATGTTAACGTCTTGTCCGCTCACACATTACCCTACCCAATAAAAGCACAGGTTAGGAACCATTGATTGCATTCCAATGGTTATGAACCATCAGTCAGCATCTCTAAAACTGTCATTGCAATAATTACATCATTAATTATGTAATTATGTATCAAATTTATCTGGAAGTAAATGTAAAGTGTAAAGCCTCCCTACCAGTCTGCAGCCTACTTGCTGCAGATCCAAATATTATATTAATATCGACGGGCTCAAAATGTGCATATTTAACTACATTACCTGAGAAGCAGCACTGACTGATGTTATATCGGATAATTAATGTGTATAGCAGAAGAACGCGACAACGTGTGGGAAAAACATGACGCCTGCCGACCGCCGACAACACTTAGACATGAGCCAATCCCACTAGTGAACAGAACACAAACATTGGCGACGACGTCACAATCAGGAAGAGACGGGAAACCGGGACTTACCAACTAAGGTTGTGTCACTTAAATCATATTTGCTGCAAATCTTTGGATAATCCCTTAATTTGCGGCCATTCAAGTGTATTTCTCCGGTGAATTGGGCGTCTTCAAAGATGCGATCTACAGTGCGGCCGATGGTCGGGGGGCTCTGGTAGCCCGACCCGGGATAGGCCGCCATCTTCTGTTTCATCGTCTGCCGGAAGTTTTGTTTTTGGACATGCGCGAATGTTGTTGCGCGAAGGTCAAGGTTAATGAGTCATTGGAATGTGTTTTACAGATTGACTCCAGGTACGGGACTTCGCATCACAGTCTGTGTGTCAGAGGCTTCAGGTACCAGATCCACAACCCACATCCTGTGTGTCACTGATTCCAGGTACCAGATCCACAACCCACATCTTGTGTGCCACTGATTCCATGTACCGGGTCCATACACCAGTCAGTGTGTCAGAGGTTTCAGGTACCAGATCCACAACCCACATCTTGTGTGTCACTGATTCCAGGTACCAGATCCACAACCCACATTTTGTGTGTCACTGATTCCAGGTACCAGATCCACAACCCACATCTTGTGTGTCACTGATTCCAGGTACCAGACCCACAACCCACATCTTGTGTGCCACTGATTCCAGGTACCAGATCCACATCTCGTGTGTCACTGATTCCATGTACCGGGTCCATACACCAGTCAGTGTGTCAGAGGTTTCAGGTACCAGATCCACAACCCACATCTTGTGTGTCACTGATTCCAGGTACCAGATCCACAACCCACATCTTGTGTGCCACTGATTCCAGGTACCAGATCCACATCTCGTGTGTCACTGATTCCATGTACCGGGTCCATACACCAGTCCATGTGTCAGAGGTTTCAGGTACCAGATCCACAACCCACATCTTGTGTGTCACTGATTCCAGGCACCAGCTCCACAACCCACATCTTGTGTGTCACTGATTCTAGGTACCAGATCCACAACCCACATCTTGTGTGTCACTGACTTGAGTTACCAGATCCACAACCCACATCTTGTATGTCACTGATTTCATGTACCGGGTCCATACACCAGTCAGTGTGTCAGAGGTTTCAGGTACCAGATCCACAACCCACATCTTGTGTGTCACTGATTCCAGGTAGCAGATCCACAACTCACATCTTGTGTGCCACTGATTCCAGGCACCAGATCCACAACCCACATCTTGTATGCCACTGTTTCCAGGCACCAGATCCACAACCCACATCTTGTATGTCACTGATTCCAGGCACCAGCTCCACAACCCACATCTTGTATGTCACTGATTCCAGGTACCAGATCCACAACCCACATCTTGTATGTCACTTATCCCAGGTACCGGGTCCATACACCAGTCAGTGAGTCAGAGGTTTTACGTACCAGATCCACAACCCACATCTTGTATGTCACTGCCTCCTGGTACACGATTCACAACCTACATCTTTGATAGCTTGGCCATATGCGTGGGGCAGAAAAAAAACACTGACATGATCAGTGATAGTGATGCCCGTGTATTATGGCTAATCATTACCGCCAATGCTTATCGACACTGCGTGTGACGATGATTGATTATATGTCAAGGAAGAAGGGGCTCTGAGTGATCGTTTTAATTGAAAAGCGGGCGGTGGTCCAAAAAAGGTTTGGGAACCTCTGGTTTAGACATTAACATTTTAAAAAAAAACTATGATAATTAACAATGGGGAGCAGCTACCAACAGTGGACATTACGGTACAATTAACAATAGGAAGGAACAACCATCAGTGAACATCACAGTATAATAAACAATAGGAAGGAGCGGCCAACAGTGAACATCACAGTACAATAATCAATGGAAAGGGATGACCGGCCAGCAGTGAACATCTCAGTGTAATAAACAATTGGAAGGAGCGGTCAACAGTGAACATCACAGTGCAACAGCTTCTTTTCTTCACCTCTTGGTCCACTGGAATTTGTTTAGTTCTCTCCAAGAACTATACATTAGAGATTCTATCATACCATTCAATATCCTGTATTCTGCTCCGGCACCAGTTAATTAATGTTTTTAGTTTATTGTTAATTGCCCTACTCGTTCTCCATGTTTCGTTCCCTATAAAAGTAATGATTTAACATTAGAATTTTAAAATGTTAGTTTACTAAAAATTTTAATTTTCTTTTACCTCCACAAATTTCCTAGTGCTATATAACAGGTTTAGCCTGTTAAAATTTTTTGTTTGGCTACACTTGTGAACTAAAGTTTACAGGTTTGCAGATCAGGACTCTCCGAAAGTGGCCAGTGGGTCGAGCAGTTGTTAAAAGGCCCAGCCACGCCGACATAGAGACAACACTGAGGTGGAAGCAGGAGGCCCACCCCCTCCACTACATCTAGGCTACAAAAAGGGAACTCGAAGGTGCCTAATCCTAGTTTAACAGCCTAATAATGCTATTTTTAACACTATGCTCGATAACAAACAAATATAACAATCATTAAAAATATTACGAAATGAATAAATAAATAATTTTAAAAAGAATGTCTGTACATGGTAAAAGCGGGTTGCTTTAGCCTGCGTATGAAATTATTGAGGAAACCCTCATTTTAAGGGTTGTCAGCTGTCACCCACAGCTTCCATAATCCCTGCTATCAACATCAAAGGCATAGTAGACAAGCATACAAGTATACTCTAGCTTTCAGAATGTTGATTAAAAATCTACATCATAGTATTGGAACATTCCCATAAGCATCCTGTCCCCATCTTCAGCAGCAAGGAAAGAGCTACAAGTTTGATGGCACTTGGAACTGTCTGATTGTACATCCGTCCCGCCCTTCCCTTGAGTGCTGAGCGTCGACCGAATACCCAGATAGCTTCCCGCAGCCTCATTCTCCTCAGACCGTAATGATCTATGTGTGCCTCCGCACTGTTCACTCGCTTACAAAAGGGCCCTCCCAAAATCTAGCTTGTCATACATCAATTCACCACCAAGTGGGGTAAGACCAGCCAGTCTGCTGCTCGTTTTCCAACACACCGACACTAGCTGGAGAAAATATCCAAAGGACGCTAAATACCCGGAACCTCTGACGCGATGCCATCCACTCTGCGCGGGACATAACGGTCTCTATCTTTCTCACCATGCTCTGTGAGTCAGTTACAATTATGTTGACATGTGTGTACAGCTGATTCTCAAGCCTGCAGAAGGCAACAGTAACTGCTTCCACTTCCATTCTCAAACTAGACGTTATGAAAGCATTTGCCAGGCTTAGCTGCATTAAGCGACGTCCATTCGCTTTCGCTGTGAATCCTGGTGCACTTCGTTTTCCCCTTAACACAGAGCCATTTGTACAGATAATTACATCATCAGTTGGCAAGGCACCTGATAATGATGAAAATAAGTATCATACTCGGCTATGTGAAAGGAGACTTGAATGTTGTTTACGGTGACCAGTGGACATGTGGGCGTGAATTGCGTTGGTTGTTGTAATCGTTACAATGCAGTGGTCAGTTGTGTTTAAGACCATATTTGTGAGCATAGCTCATGATGAGAAAGCAACACAATTTGAGGTAAACACTTCACTGCATTCGCAACTGAAACCCTATAAAGTGATAACGCTATACCAAAACATTCAGTTCATTTTTAAGCTGTCACAAATGTCACCTTTATCGATAAATTTAAGGAATGTTGCTTTTGGCCGATTGCAGACAGAAGAAAGTCAAAGCCAGGTTGCCAGGCATAAAAGCGTGCATTAGAGTACGACCAGTCGACTTTCGCACCGGTCTCAAGCCACTTGTCCAGTTTAACGATCTAGAGTGGACGACCCAGAATGACAACAGCAACTGAGAATCGCTTCATTCGGCTTCATCCCTTCACATACAGGTTTATAACAGCTTCCTTAACTGCGCAGGCATTATCTACAGGGTGTCATGTGCCTGATCTAACTGTTCGGAACAGACTGCATGACATTAGACTTCGGACACTACGACCACACCAAGTACCTGCCTTTACACGTCGCCACCGCTAAAATCGACTTCTTTGGGCCAACCAACATCATCCATGGGCAGTTGACAATCAACGGAGATGTATCTGGTTCAGTGACGAATATTTCTTTTTGTCATTATAGGCGGCATAGGGTCTATCGTAGGCGAAATGAAGGTTTGGCCCAGCTCTGCTGCACTGTGGTGAAGGTGTAATGATGTGGAGAATTTTCAGATACAACGGAAGGAGCCACTTGGTGCACACTGAAAGAGGCTTAAATGTACAACGATACGTCAATGAATTTCTCCGACCACACATGTCCTTGCATTCTGGGATGCCAACAGATTTCTTTTTAAACAGGACAATGCCAGGACCCATTCGGCATGGATGACCACGCAGTTCCTGGCTGCCAATAACATTCAAACCCTTTCCTGACCATCCCTGTCTACAGACCTGTCCGATTAAACACCTGTAGGATGAGCAACAAAGACGTATTTGTCGCCGAGACATTGCTCCAGCCAATGGTCATGATCTGGTAAAGGCACTCCAGAGAGAGTGGACATCCATCCCACAGGCCCACATCAGACTTCTGATCCCATCCATGCCAAAAAGATGCCAGTTACTGATCCAAGCAAGAGGAGTACACATACTTTTCTAACGGGAAAGGTCGTACACCTGAAAGTTATCGTGACCCAGATGCAAAATAAAAGTGTCAATTGATTGGTAGAACCTTCAGATATTCTTGTGTGAAATTTGAGTGATTTCCCTTATTGCATTACAAAGATGCAGAATGTCAAAATTGTGAGTATGTATGTTTCTTGATCAAAATCCATACGCTGCTAGCTCGGTAAGACATTCGATAAAAATCCACTCGTAACTACCTCGATAAAACATTTGATCAAAATCCACTAGCAACTACCTCAGTAAAACATTCGATCAAAATTCCCTCGCAACTGGCTCGGTGAAACGTATGTTCAGATCTAACGGTAACAGCGGGTAATGCAAATGCCAGATTCCAAGCTATCGTCTATATTTAGACACGCAGTCATTCGGCCAGAGATGTTCTTGAGCATCCATGAAGCTGTCTTCTTCTTCTACGAATCTTAAAGGAAGAAGAAGAAAATGAGGAGGAGGGAAAAACAAGGAAAAGGAAGGGGGAGGATGATGACGGGGAAGAGAAATGTAGAGAAAAAGGGGAGGGGCAGCAGAAGGAGAAGCAGAACATGAGGAG